CCTATGGTCTGGGTCACAGCTCCTCTCCATAAACTGGCTGATTGGCAGCTAATTACACTTGCTTTCTGGATAAAAATTTCCAGGAACAGCTAGCAGATTTTTTAAAAACCCAAAAGACAAAAACAGTAAAACATTTAGAAACAGAAAGCTATTTCTCTATTCTTTTGCTATCTGGGGGTCTCAGCACTTACCACATCACTAGCGCTAGAGAACTCGTTATTAACCAGACTTTCAAGAGCCATCCAACGAACTGGCCTGTTTTCATTGTCCCCCAGACAGTGATAGTCCATGGGGAACAAGTCTCTGGAGAGGGCATTGTCTGTGATCTTAACTTGAAGTGTGTCATCAATGCTGAAAAGTAAAGACATGAACATCAAATGCAATCAAGAGTATTAAAAAGTAGGGATTACCACCACCCTTAAATACAACACAAGTCCCACTGTGACTTGCAGAGAACCCCAAATCCAGGAAGCACTCTACATCAAGTGACAGCGTAAAGCTCATGGCACCTACACACAGTTCCTAGCAGCCAGGTCTTTGTGGATGACTTCCCTTCTGGCCAGGTAGCTCATTCCACAGGCAATCTGAATAGCCATGTGTACCAGGTCTTGTTGAGAAATTGCCTGTGGTAACAAAAAATGACATGGTTTGCAAATAGCACACAAATATGATGGCACTTTCTTACTTTATTTCATTCCACAATCCTACCTACACCATCCAAATATACTGCTTTAAACCTACACACTGAATTTTTAAAAGCTATTTCTTGACCAAGAATATGTTCCCATATATCCCTGTACTTATATCAACTATAGTCCTTATTATTCTATAATCTACCATTTACTCTCTGTCTCTTTTCATCTGTTAGATGTGTCTCCCCAATATCCAGCACATAGAGCAGCTGCTCAATACATCTGCTCAGTGAATGCTGAGTTCTCAAGGTAATATTTCAAATGTTTACAATTCAGTAATCTTTTTTCCCCCAAAACAGTAGTTTTTATTAGGAGATTCTCTCCTCAGGATTATTTTCAAATTAACAGAAGTCTAAGCCTGGTGCAGTGGCTCATGCCTATAATCCCAGCACTTTGGGAGGCTGAGGTGGGAGGATTACTTGAGCCCAGGAGTTTGAGACCAACCTGGACAACATACTGAGGCCCTGTCTCTATACAAAATTATTTTTTTAAAAATTAGCCAGGTATGGTGGCATGTTCCTGTGGTCCCAGCTACTCAGGAGGCTGAGGTGGGAGGATTGCTTAAATATGGGAGGTTGAGGCTGCAGTGAACTGTGATCACACCACTGCCCTCCACCCTTAGTGACTGAGATCCTGTCTAACGAAACAAAAAACAAAAAAACCCAAAGTACAAGCCCCTAGCTTTTTCTGCTGACGTGCTCCTCTAGGTGGATGACAGTACTTGGGGTGGAGGAATAAAATCCTTCCCCAGGTAATGCAGATGAGCCACAGGCTCTAACCACTTGTTGAGAATCCCAGCTTTAGTCTTGTCAATTTATAAAGCATATCATACATATTAAGCCAAATACTCAATGCAGCCTTTGAACCCATTTTCTCCTGGCAACTATAATAACTATACTACTATAAATCCTAAAGCAACTTAATTGGACTACAAGATATAGCAGACAGCAAAAAACCCACTAGGCTTTACTACCACTACCATCATAATATGCATGGTATCTGACCTTTGCTTCATAGTTATAAACACAAGCAGGGAAGAGAAACACTCTTAGATGACTGCCAACTTACAGCCAAGCATATTTACAATACATCCAATTACCTCCCACCATCTAGACCTCTGGTCATTACCAGGCTTTGGTATATATAGTATGAACCAAATGGCTCTAGAAAGTCTGTTTCCATTCCTAAGAGGAAGATCTAGGACAAGTACCCTCAGTTATCAGGAAAACACCTGAGATGGCATTACAAAGGGTTTGAGTTGATTATGAATAAGTACACAAGGAAAATATAAGGAAAACTTCAGCATCAGCACAGTGTAAGCCTCAAGGCGGGAACATAAGCCAACATTTTCCTTTAAACCAACAGGTTATAAATATCTTGTGGTTCATTTGAGGTTCTTTTTTGCAGGCCTTTAAACAGTTTATATTCAAGAACGTTAATATCTACTTTCAAAGACATTATCAGAAACTACTGGTAAATAATTGGTATTTGGGCAAATTTTTCTCACCTGTGGATTATTGGCCTCTACTAACTTGCACTGCCGTAAAAACAATTTAAGATTCCCCCAATTCATGTAAGGCAATATCACCATGGGCTTTTCTCCTTCTTCTATACACACATGAGTAATAGGAAGAAGATTTCTATAAAATAATAAAAAATTGGGAGAAAGACAAAGGAATCCAAAATGTTAGGGGCTTACTTCTAATAAAAATAATCTAAAACAAAACAAAATCCCCAAAATACTTAAAAACATGATTACCATTAAAAATGTAAAACTATAAGTGCTCTGTATTTTAAACCAGACTTAAGTGTTCCCCATATATGTGCATATATCGCCATATATGCACATTCTTGGTAGGGCGAAGTCATAAACTCAAAGTTGCTTCCCGTGGGCTG